TCAGTGAAAAAGTGAAAACTTCTTTTGTTTTTCTCTTTAGAAAGAAGGCAGACATTTTTGTTGAGTAGAGTCTGAAAATTTTCTTGTCCTTTGTAAAAAAGAAGTGTGTGTGTGTGTGTGTTACCACTCTACTGATCCTCGCTTGGCTTCCTAAAGGAAAAGCTGGCTTTTGCTCCCTTCTAAAAGAGGCATTTCAGCCGGGTGCGGTGGCTCACGCCTGTAATCCTAGCACTCTGGGAGGCTGAGGTGGGTGGATCGCTCAAGGTCAGGAGTTCAGAAACCAGCCTGAGCAAGAGTGAGACCCTGCCTGTCTCTACTAAAAGTAGAAAGAAATTAATTGGTCAACTAAAAATATATAGAAAGAGTTAGCTGGGCACGGTGGGTGGCAAATGCCTGTAGTCCCAGCTACAGGAGGCTGAGAGGCAAGAGGATCCCTTGAGCCCAGGAGATTGAGGTTGCTGTGAGCTAGGCTGACGCCACGGCACTCACTCTAGCCTGGGCAACAGAGTGAGACTCAGTCTCAAAAATAAATAAATAAATAAAAGGATCATTTCCACTGTAAGAACAGCAGGAGCTGCGTTCACTGGCATGACTCTTGTGTGGCGTGGGGCCAAGCAGTTTCTGACTGCATTCCTAGTTGAGTGTTCGTCCTTCGTTCTGCACAATGAGATTGAGAACAAACTATGGGAAGAGAACGAGTTTAGTGTGTTTATTTCTCTCAGAAAACTGCTTTTCTCCAGCCAAATCCTGTGCTGATCAAGCAGCCGTGTAATTTCTCACCTGTCAACCTTGACAACCAGGACAATCAGAGGTAGGGCTTCAACTTCTCTTCCTGATTCCTGTGGTCTGAACTTCAATTACACTTAATGGGAGGAGCCAAGAGCACTGCTGTGTGCCACAAATGTGGTTCAAGCAATAGCAGCTTGTTGTTACTGCCAGTTGAATCCAGTTTGAGGCCCTTGAAGATCAGGCCTTCAAGGGACAATATTTACAAATAACCTAAGGTGTGGGAGCAAACACTCTGAGCAGCCATTGCTCAAGTCATTTCATCGTAGACTCCATCTCCTCACTGGGCAGCAAGGGACTGCAGAGCAGGCTGCCTAGCAGGCTCACCAGTGCCTGAAAGCAATGAGGCCCTGGGTTTGGATCGCCACTGCAATGGAAGAAACAATGCCACAAGGGAAGTCTAGACTTTTCACCAGCTCTGCATTGTAGCAGGCGTTTATTCAACACATACGGGCAGACGTGTGAGATATTGCAGGCTCAGTTTCAGACCACTCCAATAAAGCCAATGTCACAATAAAATGAGTCACACAAATGTTTTGGTTTCCCGGTGGCCATAAAAGTTATATTTACTCTGTACTGTAGTCTATTAAGTGTGCAATAACATTACATCTTAAAAAAGAAATGTACATCCATTAATTAAAAATACGTTATTGCTAAAACATGCTAATGATCATCTGAGTCTTCAGCAAGTTGTCCCCTTTTTGCAGGTGGAGGGGCTTGCCTCTGTGTTGATGGCTGCTGGCTAATCGGGGTGGTGGTTGCGGAAGGTAGGGGTGGCTGTGGCAATTTCTTAAAATAAGACAAAAATGAAGTTTGCCTCATCAGTTGACTTTTCCTTTCCCAAACATTTCTCTGTAGCATGCCATGCTGTTTGATAGCATTTGACTTTGCCCAGATGCATCAGAAGAATCACCCTCTGTGGCAGCTAGAACTTTACAAAATGTATTTCTTAAATCATAAGACTTAATAGTCAAAATTAATCCTTGATCCATAGGCTACAGAATGAGTGTTGTGTTAGCAGGCATTAAAACAACATTTATCTCTGTGTGCATCACCATTAGAGCTTTGGGGTAGCCAGGTGCACTGTCAATGAACAGTAATAGTTGGAAAAGAACCTTTTTTTCCCAAGCAGTAGGTCTCAACAGTGGGCTTGAAATATTCAGTGAACCACGCTATAAACAGACGTGCTGTCATCCAGGCTTCACTCACTGTTGCATTTCCAGAGCACAGGCAGAATCGACTGAGTGTAATTCTTACGGGCTCTAGGAATTTCAGAATGGTAAGTGAGCGCTGGCTGTAACTCAAAGCCACCAGCTGTTTTGTCTACATTGAAAAATCTGTTGTTCAGTGTAGCCACCTTTATCAACGATCTCAGCGAGATCTTCTGATTGACTTGCCGCAGCGTCTACATCAGCACTTTGCAGCTTTACCTTGTACTTTTATGTTATGAAGACAGGTTCTTTCCTTAAACCTCGTGAACCAACCCCTGCTAGCTTCAAACTTCTCTTCTGCAGCTTCCTCACCTCTGTCAACCTTGATGGAATTGAAGAGAGTCGGGGCCTCGCCCAGAATTAGGCTTTGGCTTAACGAAGTGTTGTGGCTGGCTTGCTCTTTCCAGACCCTGAAACTTTCTCCGTATCAGCAACTAGGCTGTTTCACTTTCTTACCACTCATGTGTTCACTGGAGCAGCATGTTTAATTTCCATCAAGAACTTTTCCATAGCAATCACAACTTGGCTAACTGGCACAAAAGGCCTGGCTTTCAGCCTGTCTCAGCTTTTGACATGCCTTCCTCTGTAAGCTTAATCATTTCTAACTTTTGATTTAAAGTGAGAGAGCCGAGACTCTTTCTTCTAACATTTATCGGGTGTCGGGAGGGTGGGAGGGGGGAGGAGGGGAGGGGTATATACAACCCCAAGGAGTGAGATGTGCAACGTTTGGGGGATGGACACGCTTGAAGCTCTTACTCGAGAGGGGAGGGGGGCACGGGCAATATATGTAACCTTAACACTTGTACCCCCATAATATGCTAAAATAAATATACAAAAAAAGAAGACAGAAAGAAAGCTCAGAAGCCATCGTAGGGTTATTAATTAGCGTAATTTGTTCTGTCTCAAGGAACAGGGAGGCCCAGGGTGTGGGAGAGGGAGAGAGATGGGGGGACAGCTGGTTGGCCCAGCAGACAGAGCACACACAACATTTATGGATTAGGTTCACAGTCTTATACGGGCATGGTTAGTTTGTGGCACCCCCAAAAGAAGTAAATAGTAATATCAAAGATCATTGATGAGAGATTACCACAACAGATATAATAATAATGAAAAGGTTCATAAAATATTGCAAGAATTACCAAAATGTCATAGGAGACTCAAAGTGAGTACATGCTGTTGGAGTAGACCTCCTGTACACAAATGTGAACAGACATGACCTGAAAGAGCCAATCCTTCAGGATGGATCCAGAGTTGCTAGCTGGACACAAATGTAAAAGAGAGCCAAGCTGCCATTTGCTGCCCGGCACTGTTTATCTTTGATGTTATGCGCTCAGAGCTCACCCGAGCCAACCAATCGGAGCTCAGCCGACTTGGCCAATCAGGGCTCATCTGTATTAACCAATCAGAATTCAGCAGCATTGACCAATAGGAACCATGCAAAATTCCATCCTTTATTTACATGATCGGACCTATTTGGGAACCTCAGCGGGAACTTTAGCACAGAACTAGACTCTTCCTTTTGTCTTCCGGAGTGCACCTTCCCCTCATACCTGAGGCGGGGTCTCGGGTTTGCACACTGTTCACTAGAGTAAAGCCACTTCCCTCTAGATTCCTTTTTCAGATAACTCTTGCTCCACGGGGCTCCCGCACTCTCGGTTGGTCAGGGTACAGGTGCACAGCGCGGTCGGAGAGATGCCCCAGGTGGGCTGCACTAGTTCCCGAGCGTGCGGAGCCAGCCGGCGCCCGCTCACCTGGCCCTGCAGCCCGCCTGTGAGTGGCGCGGGGAGCCCTGCAGCCCGTCCCAGCGGGCCCGGAAAGTGCGGGGTGGGCAGGGCGCCACGCCCTCGGCCTCTCCACCGACACACTTTCACTTGAAAATCATTTCAGAGTGGTTCCGCCCAGGCTCCTCACGCCGGACCTGACGCTCCCCGATGGCAGTGGGGAGTCGCCGGGAGTTTCGCCGGGACCCAGCGGCCGAGAGACGGCTGGACCGGACTGCGCTTGGGGGAGACGAGAGGGGACGTGGCCGGAAAGGGGACGTGGACCCGAGGGGACAGGTGGGGGGAGGGGCGCAGCCAGACAGGGGACAGGGACCCACCCAAGGGGACACGTGGGGGAGGGGCGCGGCCAGATAGGGGACAGGGACCCACCCAAGGGGACTCGCGGGGGAGGGGCGCGGCCAGATAGGGGACAGGGACCCACCCAAGGGGACACGTGGGGGAGGGGCGCAGCCTGATAGGGGACGGGGGCCCACCCAAGGGGACACGTGGGGGAAGGGCGCTGCCAGATAGGGGACAGGGACCCACCCAAGGGGACACGTGGGGGAGGGGCGCAGCCTCATAGGGGATGGGGACCCACCCAAGGGGACACGTGGGGGAGGGGCGCGGCCAGATAGGGGACAGGGACCCACCCAAGGGGACTCGCGGGGGAGGGGCGCAGCCAGATAGGGGACAGGGACCCACCCAAGGGGACACGTGGGGGAGGGGCGCGGTTGGATAGGGGATGGGGACCCACCCAAGGGGACACGTGGGGGAAGGGCACGGGGACCCACCCAAGGGGACAGGCGGGGGAGGGGCGCGGTTGGATAGGGGATGGGGACCCACCCAAGGGAACACGTGGGGGAAGGGCACGGCCAGATAGGGGATGGGGACCCACCCAAGGGGACACGTGGGGGAAGGGCGCGGCCAGATAGGGGATGGGGACCCACCCAAGGGCACACGTGGGGGAGGGGCGCGGCCAGATAGGGGACAGGGACCCACCCAAGGGAACACGTGGGGGAGGGGCGCGGCCAGATAGGGGACGAGGACCCACCCAAGGGAACACGCGGGGGAGGGGCGCAGCCTGATAGGGGATGGGGACCCACCCAAGGGGACACGTGGGTGAGGGGCGCGGCCCGATAGGGGACATGGTAGAGGAGGTAGACAGTGGAGGCCCGCCCTGCCCCCTGGGTCCACAGGCGGGAGCCTCCGCGTGCTCTCGATGCGGGCCGGGCCTGGGCGGCCGTGGGGCCACCACGCGTGCGCGGGCGCTGCAGCTTGGCGAGGATGGCGGGAGCGCGGCGCCGGCTCGTGTTTCCGCGCGCCTCAAGGGCCCGGCGACTCGGTGAGCGGACCCAGGCGGCGCACGTCCTCTGGGCTGACCTGCAGCGGTCGCACGCGGTCGTCAGTCCCCTTCCAAACCACAGCCCCTGGGGGACCTGAGCCTCGCGCCCCTCTGTACCAGTCCCCAGACGGGGCTCCAGCGCGTGGACCCCAGCCCTGGCCCGGGACCTCCAGCGGGCGGGCCCTGAGGAGCCCCCGATCCCCCTTGGGCGACCAGAGAGGTGTCCTCCGGGAGGATCCAGAACCCGTGGTGGGGAGGGTCCTCAGTTTGCCCCAGCAGACGCCGGGAGGCCTCGCAGGGCCGGTAAAGGGATCCCGGGGGCCGGGGGCAGGACGTCTGGGAAGGGGACGGGACAGCGGCTGGGGAGACCAGCTAGGAAGGAAGCCGCCAAGGCCACCGTCCAGGGCAGGGGCTGGCGAGCCAGGTGGGAGGGACGACTCCGCGGTGCGGCCCGGGCCCCCCCTGCTACAGCCCAGGGGACCGGCGCGGAGCGTGGTGACCCCTGCGCACGCTCTTTGCGCACTCATGTTTTCGCTGCTCCGACCACTGCAAGCAGAAATGCGTCAGGAAGGAGGGTTTCCCACTCGCGCTCCCCGGAGCCACCCCCGCGGCGGGCAGCAGGCTGCAGGCTCGGTGAGGGAGCATGAGATGGAAAAGAGTGAGCTCGGTGAAGGGCCACGCGGGCCCGCTGAGGCCGGCTTGCTGAGCGAGCACGTGGCACCCGGGGGCGCGGTCCCACTGCCGCGCCAGCTCCCACGCGGGCGGCTCGGTCCTCCCACTCGGTCCCTCTGAGCAGTCGCACTGATGTCAGAAATACGTTCTGCGTTCCTCCACTTAGCAGTTTCGGACTCTTACATGCATGCGCTACTGAGATGTTTCCTTTTCCTTCTCAGAGGACTTAACCTGTAGGAAGAATCTTTGTTCTTGGAATCCAGGCACCAGAGATAGTGCAGGTTTGGTTCCAGCCCTCTGCAGCAAAGCGGATATCACAGTAAAGCGAGTCACACAAGTGTCGTGGCTTCCCAGTGCATGGCAGCCGTGTTTACGCTGTGCTGTAGTCTAATAAGTGTGCAGTAGCCTGGTGTCCTTTTTATATGTTATGGAGGTGGCTTCTCTCCTTAAACCCCATGAACCAGTCTCTGTTAGCTGCCAGCTTTTCCTCTGCGGCTTCCTCACCTGCCTCACCTCCTGCAGCCTTCCTAGGATTCAGGAGAGTTAGGGCTTTGCCCTGGGTTAGGCTTTGGCTTAAGGCAATGGCGTAAGGCTGCCTTGATCTGCTATCTAGACCACTAAAACCGTCTCCATATCTGCAAAAAAGCTATTCCTCTGTATCATTCTTGTGTTCGCTGGATTGTCACCTTTTATTTCCTTCAAGAACTTTTCCTTGCATTTATGACTTAATTGTTTGTGCAATAGGTTTATTAGCGTTCGTAAGCGTTTGGCTTTTGGACAGTCACTAAGCTTACTAAGTGAGCCACTTACGAGTAACACACTCCCTCACTAAGCTTAATCATTTCTAGCCTTTGATTTAAAGTGAAATTCGTATGACTCTTTCTTTCACTTGAACACTTAGAGGCCATTATTATCCATTGGTCTAATTTCAATATTTGTGTCTCAGGGAACCAGGAAGGGGAAGGAGAGGCAGAGAGACACTTTGAGGGAAGCGACAGAACGTGCAACACATTGGTTAGGTTCATGGCACCAAAAACAATCGCAATAGTAACATCGAAGATGGCTCATCACAGCTCACAGATAGAATAACGAAAAAGTTTAAGATATTGTGAGGATTACCAAACTATGACACAGACACAGTGAGCACCTTATTTGGAAAAATGGCGCCGTCAGACTTTCTGAATGCAGGGTTGCCACAGACTTTAATTGGTAAAAATATCTGTGAAGTGCAATACAGTCAAGCACCGTAAAGCGAGATGTGCCCGCATTTCAGGACAAGTGTCACAGAGATTTTTTGATAGTTCCTTCTGTAACTTTTTTCTAAATCAACACTGAAATCCGGCTGGTTTTTCTCTGGATTGCGCATGGCAGTGAGAGACAAAATAAGCCATTAAAATAATAATGGTAGCCACTTATGGGATGCCTCCTTTGCAGCCGGCTGAGCTGTTCTAGGTATCTTCTGTTTTCTCACTTAATCTGCAGGCCCACCCTATGCGGCGCGTGCCCTTATTCCTTAATAAGGACACCCTTCTCCAAATGTCTAGATGAAGGCCCAGCCAGCGGTGTTAAATAGCCTGTCCCAGACCACCCGCCGCTGGGGGCTACCGCTAGGGGTTCCCAGTCAGGCTCATCCAACCTCCACGCTCTTCCTCTGAACAATTTCAGTGGTTGGTGTGCTGGTGACAATTGCTTTTTAAAGAGTGAGAAGCAGCAGCAATGACAATGAGCTTGGGCACTGGCCTTTTGTTTGCTTTTTGTCTTGCATTCCGGGAGGGGAGAGTGCAAATGCAGGGGCCTGGCTGGTCATCATTCCCAGGAGGAGGTAAGGACCAGGAGGGAGAGGAGGGTGGTGAGAGTGCAGAGTCTGGGGGTCCGCAGAAGCACGCGGACCTTTGCCTTGCTTTTGAGGACCTGGTGACCTCCTGGTTTGGATTTGTCTTTGTGAGAGGAGGCACAGACGCATGACCAGGATCTAGGACGCTCCATGCCGGGTCTCGACTTAGGAGACCCGGGTTATAGCCGAGTGCACACACTATATGTGCATTTCGGTTTCCTAACTGGTCAGAGAGAGGGTGGGCAGGGGGTCTGCACGCTGCCCAAGGGAGCACACAGCCTCGTCCTTCTCCGGGACTGGCCAGTTAGTTGATCTTGCAAACTGCAGTCCTCATTTTTATTCCACTTCTGGCCGAAACTTCTTTTCTGGTCTCCACATGGACCCTCCTTCCCTGACAAATGGACGACAGTTGCTTCAGCCTCCCCTAGGACCTGCTTCTCACTGTGTCTGTCAAGTTCACGACCGCCGGGTGCCTTTCCTTCACGCAGTGGGTCGCCCATGCGCGAGGCCCTCTGCCATGCCAGCTCCAGTTCTGCTCCAGGTCCCAGGTTCTCCCCTGTCCCGTCACGCTGGCCACATGCATTGCGACAACGCAGAAAGCAGGGAAGAAACATTTGGAACCGTAGGGTGCAAACATGCCCAGGGGCAACTGCAGGAGTCGAAATAGGCCAGAACTCTGGACTCTTCCCACAACCTAGAGCGTATTGTTCGGGATGGCTTTCTGCAACCAGAGTTTGTGACCCAGAGCTGGGTTTCTGCAGTCTGCTCTTTCCGGTCGGAAGCCCCAAGGTGGCATGGATGCTCCGCACAGATGCAGCTGGCACCTTTCAGGAGACTCTCAGGGGGAGCTGTCTGCAAGTAGCAGCGTGACAAGCAGAACCACAGGACCGGGTTAGGAGCTGAGATGCGCCCGCCTCCGTGGGCCGTTGGCCGGTCATCCTGAGTGCAATGGCTGCGTACCATCAGGTGTGGGAACTGGACCTTCACCATCCAGAAACAAAGGGGAGCAACCCCAGATGGCAGCTGCCCCTTTCAGGTGAGATAAGGGAGCACTTATCATTGAAACTCTCAGGTCACCTTTGCCCGCTGCTTCTGCCTGGCACCTTTCAGACTCAGCGAGTTCACGAGGTTCACGGCCCCAGAGGTCTCCTCCCCCCAGGCTGTGCCGCAGGGAAGCTACAGATTCTTGGTTTAGGGAGGAGGGGTGGGATGTTTCTACCCAAAGGCAGCCTTCCCCAAACTCTTCCTGTCCCCCTCCCTCCTCTTGCTCAGGGAAGCCTGTGGTCTCTGCCCTGTCCTGCTGGTCATGGCCTGGTTCCTCCAGGGCTCTGCTTACAGAGGGAGCCCCACCCTGGCCCCAGCCCCCAGCACTGCCAGTGCATCTTTGTGGCACCCCATGGCCCCACGTTCAAGCACCTTTGGGGGCCACTGTGTATCCTCTGCCCTCTGTGTTCCGAAGGTTTTCCACTCGTGGTGCTACCAGCTGCAGGTTGGGCCTCCCTAGGAACCTGTGGGCATTGCCTCACTTTCCGGAACTTTGTGCTAGAACATGAGCTGCACAAGTCCCACTCTTTGTCAGTTTTGTCTGCTGATGCGTCGCTGGGGCTCACACAAAGTGCCTGGGATCTAGTAGGTGCCTCATAAAACGTTTGGCAAACTGAATTGAACGGGACCTGTACCTCTGCTGAGACGCTCCGTCTGGGCTTCTGGCCCTTAAAAGATGAGCTGCCCCTTCTCTGAGGACGGAAGAGCTGTCCTGGGCGGTGTGTGTGCCAGGACCTGGACGGCCTTTTGCTCTCCCTGTGGTTGGTCAGTGGCTGTGGTTCTAGACAACCTCGCCCCCACCTCAGCGAGGTCTGGCTGCCCCAGAGCCTTGGAGGAGGAAGTGCAGCTTACATAATGGTTAATTATCAGCAACGTATAAGTGCCGACTAGCTGTCGGTTGGCAGTGCTAGCATGTTTCCATGTATCATCCGGTTCATCTCAACAATTCTGAAAAGACACTCTTCCCATTTGATAGATTAAAAAAGAAAAACCCTGAGATTGAAGAGTATTAAATAAGTTGCTGCAAATCCATTAATGTGGTGTGAAACCTGGATTGAAACCCAGGTTTGAATCCAAATCTGGGCCATTGGTGCCTTTGGCTTCTACTAGGTGGCCAGTGTTCGCGGCAGGCAGCACAAAGCAGACTCTGGCTCAGGACCCTGTATACATATGGAAGTGATCTGGGACCCAAACAGCCTTTGTGTATGAGGCTATATCTACTGATGTTACTGCATTAGAAGTTAAAAAAGTAAGAAGTGTTGAACTGTTTATTAATGCATTTAAAAATAACAGTATAACCATTGCATGTTAGCATAAATATTTTTATGAAAAACAAATTTATTTTCTAAAAAAAAATAGAAAGAATGGCTTTGTTTGACAGTTTTGCAGATCTCTTTAATGTCCTCAACACAAGACAGCTGGATGCTCAGGTCCCTTTGAATTCAGTCTG